TTTTTTTTTTTTTTTTTTTTTTTTTTGCATTGTTCTATGCATGTGATGTGTTTTTTTTTTTTTCGCGTGGTCTTGTCTTACGATGATCTATTACAACTTGTTAAGTATGCTATTCAAAACCGAGTTGTTCATGAGTTAGATTGCTTACTTTGGTCTTATCTAGAAGCTTGATTGGAATGTTGGTGTCATGAAGTCTCTTTGATAGCTTAGCTTGTTTTGAGTGATAGACGGTAAATCTTGCATGATTATATTAGATGTTGGTGTTCTAATGCTACTAATGCTGGTGTGTCTTTGTAATTGTAGGTTTCAGTCTCGAGATTATTGATTCTTTGATTATTCCTTTAGTCGGGCTATTTGGAGGATGTGCTCTTGTGAGAAAACTCCTCTCGTAGGATTTCTCAATGGATCATGAAGGTAGACTCGGTTTGTCATTTTAGTGTAGCCAATTGCGTGCGCCAAAAGGTCTGACGAGTTGGCCTAGTGTGCTATTATCTATCTTTTTTTGCTAGATTTGACACCTGGTAGTCCTGACATTCCCCTGCAACATGGTCACATTACCTACTATCTTCGTAGACCACCAATACGAGTCCTTCTAGCATGTCTTATCCTCACTCACATGCATCCAAGAAAAATTCATAAAAGATCACCCAACATAGAATTGCGGTAAATAAAACACCTAAATTATGAAGTTCCTATAATTGAGTCACCAAAGAAAAAGGTACACCTCGATGTTATATGTAATAACTTTCATTTTCTATAAGTCTTTTTTAGTCATCCTATACCCAAGATCGTTCTAATTCAGATATGATTTCGATTTATTTATGCATACTTTCTTTACTCGGGTGTCACATGGTTAGAATATCATTTATGTATTAGACAAATTAATAGCATGAAATTAATAGGGCTCGTGAACTATTTGAAACCTTTTAAAATAGACAAAATCTTGAAGAAGATTTTTTTTTTAATGAAATTTTGTAATGAACTATGAATTTAAAGGTTTTTGAAGATTTAAACTATTGGTTTCCTCCAAAACAAATCTACCAAACATTATAGGAAAGGGCCTCTTGGGGGTCCTATTTAGGTCCAAATGCCTAAATTTGCCTTTTCAAGTCAACAAACATCATAACAAAAGCTCTACAATATTGTAGTTCTTCCTCTAGACTTGTAAATTGAATAAGTGTCTTATTATAGTTATCATATGAGGAAGTTTTGAATCGATCTAACAAATGATATATTTTAACTTAATTATGTTCAAATTGATATACTTATTTTAAACAAACGATCAAAATTTAGTGGGTTTTTAACACAAGAAATGTATAACTATGATTTAGTTTATAAATTCATTTACAAATCTCAAAACCCACGTGTTGATTAGTGATATCTAATCGCTAGCTACTCCCTATATAATTGCTATATTAACTCATTTTGTAATTGATATCACAATCTTTTGAGGCTATTAGCTTACTATTATGTCTTTGGTGGATACGTGATAATATTCTCCCTCCACTTTAAACTATACCCACATTTAAATTGTTTTTTTCTTCTTTGAAATAAAAGTAGTAATTTAATTATACATCGAATGTAAATTTCTTGATTGTTTATTAAAAAAACGGTAAAAATTGTTAATGAGTTCATAGGTTTCAAAATTCAATATGTGTGTTTTTATTATGAGGCTTGTGTTTAATTTTCATTTGGTTCTAAGTTTGAAGATTTTACCGTTCCACTAATACTCACTTTAAACTCTTTTGTATTAGGTTTAGTTGATTTAATTAACGAAAAGTTAATGCCGAAGTTCAAAAGTGAGCATAATTGAAGGAACAAAGGTAAAAATGTTAAAATTTAAAATTTATAAACTAAATGGAAACTAAACTCGAAACTCAACGTTATAAAAAAGTAACTAAACCAAAGATTCAATTGTAAAGATATAATATTTTGAGATCTAATATTAAAGTCAGACACTAGACAATGTGCCTATAAGAACGCTGGGCTCCGAAAGGGGATGAACTAGTGAGATCTCACATTGATTGGAGAGCAAAACGAGTGGCAACAAGGATGTTGGGCCTCGAAGGAGTGAATTGTGAGATCTCACATCGATTGGAGAGAGGATAAAAAGAAAAAGTCTAAAGAAGCTTGAAAAGAAATACCAAAGGAAAAGTCTAAAGAAGTCGGACAGTGGTGGCGTGGATATATTTTTCTGTACTTTTGATCCAATAAAACTACCCCCTAATGGCAATTACTTACCTCTAGCTGTATGAAGAACATTATATTAGAAGTTTTGAGGACAATTGAAAATAACAAGCTTCTGAAACTAAGACCTAGCAAAGACAGATATCAGTAGAGATGAGAAATAGGTCAAACAAGAACACAGTGGGGGTTGATATTATGAATGAACTCTACAGAGAGAGACCATTAAAGAGTCCTATGAATAAAGGCGAATCCGAAAGCAAATCCAAAGATAGATTTCTTACCAAAAAGAGTACCAAATGAAACGAACCCGATCGTCTGGGTCGACATATAGTATCACCAACACTTCAGTAGGAAGGGTAGGGAGCAAATCTAGCAATACATACAATAATTGGTGTTAGAGAAAAATTAACATAGAAGTCGGTATAGATGGGGGAGGAGCTTCTAGCTATTTCCCCCTAACATCAACCTGCTTTCTCTGAACTTTTTAAGCTACCTGAAATTTCAACATACTCAGAAATAAGCTCTGCATTTTTTAACATCCAACGAATGGTGTCATAACAGGACAAGCTGACATGACTCAGCGGCATGACAGACTAACCCAACAAATTAAGAAGCTTACTAAAGCTGAAACCAAGGGCAGTAAAAAGAAAAGGTACACCTCTTGACTTCAATCTGTAGCTGGTCCATGAGCCAGGGCATGTTTGGAATGACTCTTAAGTCCCTAGGAGCCTAACAGACCACCACGGCTTACGAACCACCTTAAAAGTTGCCCTTAAGCTGCAAGTTGTGTGAAAGGTATCAACAGCTTTGTGGGGGACTAGGGATTTCCAATCAGAACCCACTGCTCCAAGCCATTTCCCCTGCGGCAGCCATGAAGACTGCCCCTGCGGCGTCAAAACCAACAGGGGTGGTGGAGAAGAAGATTAGAGGATTCAAAAGCCATTGAAAAGAAAGGATTGGAGTTGTTAAACCGAGAGGGCTCTGATACCATGTGAATGTTTGCTTAATCCACCACACCTAAATGGTGTGAAAGTTATCTTATTTATAATCAAATAAATTACAATGATATGGAAATAGTAATAAATAGAAATAACAATAAATGAAAAGATACCTATAATAATAAGGCAAATATTAGATATTTGCCTTATAATAAAATATCAAATATAATATATATGATAAACTATAATTTATTACTAAATATCCTTAACACATATCAAACACAACCATAACGACCAACAGTTCAACTCGGGTTATATTTCATTTAACCTTTTTTTTTTCTTTTTAATGGAGAAACAGCCTTCATTAAGAAACACACAAAAAAATAATCAAGAAAGCAACTTAAAGAGATGAAAAAGAAACATGAAAATGGTAAAAAGTGCTTCCCTGGAAACTGTACCTTCATCAACTATAAAAAAAAAAAAAAAAAAAAAAAATGAACTACCGTAGGGCCGCTGCCCAGTTCCTTCGGTTCTAAATAAGCAGAAGATAATCTGTTCTAGGTTAAGAAAACAAAAGTGTAAAGTCACAGGTTGTAACTAAGTTAGAAGCATAGCAGATTAATTAAGCTTCTGCTTGTCCATCGGTTGAACATCTTTAGACAGCGTCCATTGCTTTATATTGGAGAAGACCGCAAGGAAGGTGAATTGAGAAAAGCAAAGAAGCATAATTACTGCCTCAAAGAGAAAAGGGTACCTCTCAGGCGGGCGCACCACCAAGTAAACAATGTGGAGAACAAGCGAACAAAACAGAAAGAATCCAAATAAGATCCTCGCAGATTGAAATGCTCGCCCTTTTCGCTGCCCTTTATTTGATGCATTGATAATAAGGAAGGTAAGAGCATAAATGGCAAGATATGCTTGAACCAGTTTGTCTCGAACTATAAGAGGAAACATTGAAAGCAATGCATAGTGCAGAAAATGTATAAATAATGAAGGTTCATCCAGAGCCAACATGCTTGCAGGAAGAAGAGGCAGAAGAACAGACTTCTCATGCACTGCAATATTATTCAGAGGCGGTAAATTAGACTATCTTCATGCTAATATCATCCTAACTCATGGGGAGAGAGGAAAAAGAGGAGCGAGGGTTAAGTACCTTGAAATGAGAACAGGTAGAATGAGAAAGAACTACATAGAAGGCCATGTAGAAACCCCTGTTTACTTGGGAAACGAATCTGTTGAATCATGGAAGGTAAACAAGTAGACAGTGTAGCAGTGAAGCTGAGAAATTTCAGTAATTTTACTGAAAAAAACCTCTTCCACTTAATAAGGACAGATGTGGCACACCAAAAGTTCGCCACATAATCTTCGTATAATCCTCTCTCAAAGGGAGCAAGACGTGATAGAACCTAAGCCATCCAGACTTGGATTAAACTTCAAAAAACAGAATGGATGCTAACATTAACCACACACAAAAAATAATAGTAAAATCTGGACGTAAAATATGGTACTACCAACGTGTAAGACTGTATTGTTAGAGATACTACACTACAAATATGAAGCCTGTGTTTCATTCCTGCCTAGCTGATCCAAGAATATTGTATTACCAATATGTAAGATTGTATTGTTAGAGCAACTCAATTACAATTCTTAAACCGCGTGCCATTCCTGCCTTGCTGGTCCAAGAATGTTTTCAAAATCCTCACAGTGATTTGACGAGATAAATAGAACACCGGTGTGTTTCATTATGCTATAGGATGACTATGCATGTAATTAACACTCTCAGCTCTGAACTCATGAATGCTAAGAAAGGGTAATAATCTCTCTTTTGGTGAAGAACATTGTATTGACACTTGAAGGTAAACTGACAGAGGGACTAATAATGATTATGTTATTGGATGTTTCCTCTTACCTGTAAAACAGCATCAACTGAATGAAGATAAGGCAGCCAAATAATTGCAAACGTTCCTAAGACCACCAAACCCAATTTTAACACTTCCACAATGGGGTTTCTACGCCTCATACATTTCCCCAGGAGATGGCTAAAAAATGCTGGAGCAAAATATGCACTCATCTGCAAGACATCAAGTAGCTTCAGCATTTTCTCTAGTTAAGGTGACTACACAAAAATTTCAACTATTAAATTCGATACCATCCTCACGTTCATGACCTAAAAATTCGTTGAACAAAATTTAGATAAAAAAGAACTGTGCAGTGAACCTATACCTGATGAGAAAATGTAAGATAATTCCAGATGCATATGTTATGTATTATTCTACTGAATTAATATGCCAGATCAACATATAAGACCTCTTGACCAAGCCATCATAAATTGAATCATGCATGTTATTAACACAAAAATGATCTGTGTTCACCATTCATCGCACAACAAGAAGCAGATTAGAGCAAGAAATAAATAAATAATTCTTAGGGAAGAGAAAGTTGAAACGTACCTGCTTATGATTCAGAGCAAGAGTAAATAGGAAACTACCCACAAGATCTTTATCCGTACATATGGCAGCAATAGCTCCCACAGTGAGGCCCAAGCTTATACAGTTATACTGTGACAAAGGAGAAAAGGTGAAGAACCAGCCTGGTTCAAAATTTAAACAAAAAATAAGAAAATCCGTGAAAAACATAGCTATGATATAAGTAGAAACCTGAAAATGACCATGATCAATTAAGATGAGACAGGGGTTGATGAGAAGGATTGCAATTTGCCATGCTAGATCACTTTTACGGAAGCTGGAGTTATTGCTAGAATATGCAAGAACAAAATATAAAACTGCAGGAAAGAAAATCAGCACATCAGAGGATAAAACCGTCCATCTCATAAGAAGTTTTCTGCAAAAAACCAACAAGATAGGAAACTCAAAATGTCATAAGAGTTTGAAAAAAAAAAAAAAAAGAAGAGTAATTGATTTATCAAAAGATGCAAAATAGAAGCATACTCACCCAAAATAGGACTCATAACCTCGTGAAGTAAACAGTGAAACTGACTCTGAATCAAACAACTTGAGGAATAGACCATGAATGTAACTCTGATAGGCTGTAAGGGGTGGATAATCAAGCCCCCAATAGTAGAGGTCATTGGTGGTGCTGTTCTGATACCAGTCTTTAGCTGGAAGGTTGATGGTGATTTCCATCCAATGCCTCTGTGCCTCATAGTCGCCATACTTTGGAGGGTTTCCCGCACCAGAATAAGGATGAAGGGAGACTGCTACTCGAACCAGCAGAGCAAACAATGATATGGACAAAAAAATAGATTTAACTCCTTTATGAATCGACCACCAACAAGCATCATCATGATTGTCTAAATCATCCTTGTTCTTCGTGACTATGCTTTCTTTTACTTTCTCCATGGCTGACTTGTTAGAGAGTCTGCATTAAGAATCTTAAAGAAAGAAGTGTATCAAATTTTGGGTCGAATCCTTTCTATAGTTCCAAATTTCCAAAACTATTATGAAAGCATAATTGATTCAAACTTAACCCTGAAAAGCTCTATCAGTGAATATATTTTCTCAAAACTATAAACAGAAAATTGCTATTTGGATTCCTATATGTGCAAAGCAAACCATATGAAATCTCTTTTGCTTAAAGATCAATTCCTATTTTTATTTTCTTTAGAAGATCTGTGAAAGAAGCAAACGAAAACAATTGCCTCAAAACCAAATTTACCTTATATAGATTGAAGAACCCCAGTACCAATTATTTATCCACAGCCAAATTTACCTCATTAAACTTAACTAGCATGACTCGAATCACTGAAATCAAGGACGGGGAGGGGGGCGACGACATAAATGATAAAACTTGAAAGAGAAAGGAGAAGTACAGTGAGCAGAAATCAAAGAACATGAAAAGGGAGTAAACATATAAACATTCAAGTGCTCAACCTTACCAATTCGTGGAGAGAGGGAAGAGTCGAGTAGAAAGTTGAAACTCAATCTTGCCGATCCGGAGGGCGGGGCCGTGGATCGGCTGGAATGGAAAATACCCAACGTGAGCTGTGGATAGTCGTGGTCAACCGGCGGGGCTTTGACGTGGGTAGGTTCGTTGTGATAGCAGGCAGCCTGTAGGGGTTCTTTATTTTTCATGGGCCTGGGCCATGTAGTTCAAAAAATTGCTTTTACAGTCCACAAATTATATTATATAAATATTAATAAAAGTAAACAAATTATATATAATTCAAAAAATAGAAATTCAAAATTTTTGACATTTTAGTCAATGTAGTATTTTATTTTATTTTATTTTATTTTATTTTATTTCTTTAAACAAAATACATTTCTAATCGGTTTTCAATGTCATCTTTTTATTATGAACATTTTTCAAATTATAAAGATTAAGAATATGATTTTTATTATTATTATTATTATTTAGGGACTAAATAAACCAACTAACTATTTCCATAGATTACTCGTGTTTAATAAATTAAATATTTTTATTTAATGCTGCGAACATTCAAATTGTATTCCCTTTTCTCATATTTTATTTAAAATTTTAATTAGTTTTTTTTTTCTACTTTTTGTCTATATTTGATTCTTAAAGCAAGATAACAAAAGTTTCATCAAATTTTTTAAAAAAATTTAAAAATATTTTAAGTTCTTAAAACTTTACTAAAACATTACATGCTAATGAAACGAAATCTTAATAAGAAACAAGACAAAAGGGACGGAAAACACGAACATCACCAAACGGGTTCTTAACGAGAACTAAGTAAAGCGTTTTTTTCCTAAAGCATATCCAAAAGAACACACTAACTAGACACTTCTTTTGAAACTCATTCAACGCGCTTGAGAATGTTATATGAAAATTCTTGATGTTAAAAAGGACCTTTAACCAATTGAATGAGTTGATTAAAGAAAGAAGCAATTCATAATGGCATGAAATGGACATAAACATAATACCTCAGAAGCTTCCCATTTTCACGAACAAAGACGCCTGCTGATACATTCAACCACGGTCAATTCTCTTTGGCCCATTCAAAGCCTGGAAAGTTCAAAAAAGGCAGCCAATCCAATTCCCTATATAACATATGTAAGCCCAGCAAGAACATAAAAGTACCTCATTCAAGAGCTTCTCACGGACAAACAAGCAGCAAAAAGGATTCAAGTTTTTCAATCATGGGAAGGAAACTGGATGCTCTACTGGGAAGGAACAGATATTTGAAGCCTTCCAAGATCAAAATCCTTGCAAACATGGCCATTTCCAGGACTGCCATCCTCAAAAACCAGCACCGTGCTCGCTGCTCCCTTGCCCGGGCCGACGTTCTTCAGCTCTTGAACCTCAGTTACCAACACCGCGCTCAGCTTAGAGTAATTTGCTTCTCCCTCTAAACTCTATAGTTCAGCCCCTTCTCCTCTTTTTTCAATTGCTGAGCTTGGATGTGAATGAACAGGTTGAGATTGTGATCAAGGAGAACAACATGATGGATGCACTTGGAATGATAGAGGATTACTGTTCCCTCCTCATAGAAAAAGTGGCTCTTCTTCAAATGAACAAGTAGGCCATCTCTTTGAATGCAGCCCTTTTAAAAGAAACCAAACCAAACCTTTCCTGATTCTCTTTTGGCTTAAATGCAGGGAATGCCCTGGTGAAGTTAAGGAAGCAATATCAAGTCTGATCTTTGCATCTTCAAGGTTTGGAGAGTTTCCCGAACTCCAGGAGATTCGTCGGATTTTCGAGCTGAAATTCGGGAAAGAGTTTGCTGGCAGTGCCATTGATTTACGCAACAATTGTGGAGTTAGTCCCAAGGTGAGTTTGATATTAGTTGCCTACATGCATGTTCGATATCAACATGTTTGTATCTCACAGCTTCCATGTTACAGATGATCCAAAAGTTTTCAACAAAGCAGCCCAACGCTGAAACTAAACTGAAAGTGCTAAAGGAAATTGCTTCTGAGAATGGCATAACTCTGCATTTAGAGGAAGAACCTGCAATAGTCATCAAGGTAAACCAGAAGTTGGAAACCAAGAAATCAGCAGACTTAGATAACCCAGAAGTCATAAACACCACAGATAATCCACATGAAGTTATTATGAGTGAGGAGACAGCATCAGAATCAGTGAGAGCAAAGAAGTTTAAAGATGCAGCTAGTGCCGCTCAAGAAGCCTTCCAATCAGCAGCTTATGCAGCATTAGCAGCTAAAGCAGCGATCGAACTTTCAAGATCTGAATCACAAGATATTCATATAGAGGAAAGAAACTCAGATTTGGAGAGTTCTCATGAACCCAAGATTAATCCTGATGAGCTTGAAAGTTGCAGTTCAGAATATGAAGATCAAGACGCAGCAGAAAGCAATCAAGAAGAATTACCAGAAGAACCAGCCAAAGAAATTATGTTGTCTGATCCGAATTTGGATTCAGATATTAGCAATATGAAGGAGAAATCATCATCATCTAAACCAAATTCAATCAGCCACAATGAGCCAGAAAGTGACAAGTTAACGAGTAAAGAAGATGAAGTTGTAAGTAAAAACAAAATTTCAGAAGAGGATATCAGAGTTGAGGAATCAAAGTAAATTTCATGGCAGATTTCAACTTGATTTTGCTGAAATCCCAAGATCGGAAGCAGACAAGAAGTATACAATCAATAGCTTCTAATTTCTATTCAATCAATTTTGGTAGAGCAGATATGTAAACATTATGTCTTTTTCGAGATTTCTATTCGAGCACAATACAATAATAATGAAGAAATCGTCGATTTTGCAGACGTTCATTTCAAATTCCTTGATCTTTTAGGGTTTCATGAAAATCAACATCAACATTCTCATTAGAACATATCTTCTAAGTTATTCAAACAAAATAAGTAATTCGTATTGTTGTTCGTAGGGATCATAACACTACTCGATGAACCAAATTATAGATTCTCTTCCCCAAATTTAAGACAATCCCGATCAAGCAAACAAACCGAACATTTATGTCAACTTACTAATTCCTTACCGTGATAAACGGAACAATCATACCAGAAGCGGAAGCAGCTATTTGGAAGTAACGGAATGGGGACAGGTAAATTAGAGGTATTGAGACAGAAATTAACGTTGGGCTGAAGCTGAACCACCATGGATAACATCACAGCGACTGTGTTTTGACTGCTTTGGGCTTCTCAAAAGGCCTCATACCAATGAAGTTAGTATTCCTCACTTATAAACCCATGATCATTCCCTAAATTACCCGACGTGGGACTTTCATTATCCAACAAGGAGAATAAATCTTGTTTCATCTTTCCTTCAAATTCCTAATTCATTTACTCTTTCAAGATATAAAATATCTTTTCTTACAATCGTGTTGTCAGTCTTCCAGCTTATAGTATTTTTTAGCTTCGCTACCCGTCCTGTGCAAGTTAAGAGAAAGGGTTCAACCCATGATGGCATAATCGAGTTAGGCTTATGTGCCAAGTTACATCCTAGGTTGACAAATATGTTGCTTTTGAGCAATCCTGTGCACGTCAAGAGAAAGGGTTGGCACATAAGATGACCTAACTCGATTATGCCATCATGGGTTGACAAATTACGTCCCGAGTCGACAAATATGTTGCTTTTGAGCAACCCTCTTGACATCTGTAATTAAAATATAATCTCCGTTCACGGCCATCTGTCTAACTAAAATGGGATTAATATACATTGTCTGAACTTGGATAAAAAAACAGCAACCTGGTGCCATCAGGATCATCAATCAATATAAGAAATATAAGAACATGAGATTGATAAGTTTGATTATAACATAATAATGATCTGATGCAAAAGCGCCCAACAGAAGGCAGACTTCCAGAACACAACAGACTTCCCCCACCTGGGAAATTATTCGCAAAATGAAAAACAACTCAAAACAAAACAAAACAGAACAGAGAACAGACTTTTTTTTGTTTAGAACATAACCCCCAAGATACTATTTTTTTGTTTATTCGTTACTAGTAGTAGGATAAGATAAAAACGCAAGCAAAAGTTGATGAAAACTTCTAATACTCCCCAACTTCTTCCTCGTCCTCCTCACTGCTCCAACCTTTCAACAGGATCGACCTTGGAGACGACGCATAATCCCCTTCGGTCTTCATAAAGCTTTGGTAGATGACCCTTCCATTTTCGCCCAGCATTTCACAGTTCTTCTCTCCTCCTTCGTATCCCTTCAATTCTAGGCAGAGCAAGTCCCTGAGATCCTCATCGACGACATCCGAATGGAGGGCAACAGAGAATTCAGATGGCTGAAAACATTCAAGAACCCTCACAATTAGTTTAGACAGACTCATGTCGTCGAAGTCGTATCCAGCTGCTTCGAAGCTCGCATAGCTAAACCCATCCTCCGGAGTGACATGGATGGTGGACTCTGCATCTCCTTCAATGGCATTCATAGAATAGCCACATGGGTCGAACTCGAAGTCGCATATTTCAGATTTTGGGAGAATTTTCCTGATACCAGAGTTTTCAGTCATCAAAGCAGCAGAACTCACGTCTGTCTTGAAGAAGACAGACGCCTTCTCCTTGTCTAAGGCAGTCATGCACATTTCAAGGGTATAAACAGGGTTGTTGCTTTGAGTCCCCATGTTAGCGGCACAAGCAGAGTAAACGTGCCATTTCTTAGTTTCATCAGGACTTCCCATCACATATGCAGAGCTGTTCAGGCCAAGCTTAGTCAAATACCCATCAAGGACAGCAACTTCCTCAGAGAAGTTGCGATGGGGAAAAGACTGGGCACCAGGAAAGATAAAGCTGCCACGAGTGTACCTCACAGATTTCACAGTAAGAGACAGAGAATCAGCCAACTTCAGCAGAGCTGGAACCGAGAGAAGCAGCTTAGTAGTGCCGCAAGTTTTGATGATGAACTTGTATGGGTACACAAAGAGGCTAGACTCCGAAAGGACATACGAATCAAGATAGTCATTCGACAACGAGTCGACAATGGTGCACTCGGCTAATGTCAGGATTTCATCCAATTGTGCCCTTGAAAGTGCACGAAGACCCATGCCTCTAGGGTCAGCAAAAATGCTCGGCTCAAAGAACGATACTTCGAGCCTCTTTTCATAGCCTTCAAATCCAATGGAAGAGGTTGGAAACGTC